AGCCTTATCACGAAGCTCCACTGCAAAACACTTTTAACAATGTCTGAGAAGCGTGACTTTAAAGCAACCTAAGCCCATTTTCATTCGCGGCAGTTCAAGCATTCTACTAACAGAATTAAAATGATCATTCTCATGCTTATTATGCTCATTTAGGTACGTATGGTGCTCTTTAACAAATGTCCCGAGCTGTTATAGTGTTGAGTAAAGATCACGTAGACTTTCAGGGTAGGTTAGCGAAGAGTTTTGTGTCATAACTGTCAAAAAAACTAAAGTGAAATAGATCTGGAAGATAATTTACTGATATTTTTTAGGACGTGTTGTTGAAGAAGTGTTGAAGACATTAGACAGTGAAGTCATGTGAGACATTGTGCGGTGTGCGCCCACGTTGATGTCGTACGGTATTCATATTTGAGAACACTTTGGGTACACAACACGGTAACAAAGTGATTATGGAGAAGTAGTTGTTCCAAGGCAAGAGGAAAAATATTTAAACTCTTTTTAAGGTACTTTGTGTAGATTTTTTTTTTTTGTAAAGAAGCCCTAATGGAGTAAATGGCAGACAAAGTGGTTGTGCAAGTGTCGTCAAAATAATTCACCTGTTCATCCCATGCTGTGTCATTGTTTAGGTGCTCAGACTGAACTTCACATGTACATAAGTCCTGTAAATGAATGTCAGACCACTTTTATGACAAACCCTGAGAGGAAAGTTGAACATCTTAAATTCTGAGCTGCTTATTGCATCGTTATTGCACTGTTTGCATTAGGCTGTTAACAAAACTTTGAGCTGTTCCTAAGCTCTGATTGGTCGCCTGTAAAGTCAAAAAAATGAATCAGTTAAGAGCAAAAAGATGCCAAATTAAGACTAATGTCAGCTATTTGTAAATATTCCAGGTATTTGACAGTATTACCAACCGACTCTGGTCTGTCTCTGCAGGTTAACTAAAGCCATCAGCTTGAGCTTCTCATCTCATTCACTGGTCGTTGTGCCTGTTGCTCTGTAGTAGCTGTGATTTGTGTTTGCTTACTAGTGTATCAGGACTATGCAGCAACTTCTACTGGTGTTGGCAATCAGCGAATGTCTGATCCTCACAAGCAAATGCGGTGTGTGTTCATCTGGTCTGTCTTTGAGTTCTTAATTTGGACCAAAATGCACCACGGGGACACAAAGTGGGAGCTTGTTTTTAGCAGATAGTACTGAGCCTTAAGGAGAGGAGGTGTTGCGTTGAGAACAGGGTTCATAGATGTTTAAGAAATTAAGCAGTTTGGAAGCCGTTTCATGTGTTTTGTCCTGAATGAATGGCAGAAAAAGTATCCGAACTGGGCTTGTGAATGGTCAAAAGACGATAAAAAAAAAAAAAAAATTAAGAATGGAGTTATGAGCCTGAAATAGTTGGCAAGAATCGGTACTTCACTGTTTGCATGGTTAATTTGATGTAGAATGGAAGCAGATAAAGAGATGGATCTGATCTCTTCGGCCAATACAGGTTGCTGAATAGTCATATTTTTGCAAAGTTTGTTGTGGACTAAACTAAGATTAAAAAAAAAACCTGTTATGCGGTATCTAATGTCACAGACGTGCAAATGTTAAGGGTTTCTAAGTGTTGTAAATGCATGTAAACTTGCTGTGTGATGAGAAAAGAAAAACGTTAACATTAATGTATTGTTTAGGAAAATCATTCTAGATGATGTTTTCCTTTTTAATACTCAAATATTTGATATTTCTTTTCCTTTTCTAAAGAATCCTTTGTAAAACTTAATTTCTCTATTTTGTACAGGATATCATTGTAAAGATTGTAAATAGGTCAGCATTCTGGATGCGGCAACAATCATTGAGGGGAAACAAAACAAAAATCATCTTTGAGAGAAAAGAAAGGTATATTTCTTCAGAGTGGAGTCTGATACGATTGAGGCATGTTTCTGAAGGTTTTCATCCACCTATCACTGGTTGTTGGAATCAATAAAAATACATGTTATATTTATCTTGTTGCTTATTGTGTGTTCGTTTGACAATGTTGACCTGTTAATAAGAACTATGACAACTAGTCCATACCCGTTGGTAGCTTTGTCACCTTCTACCTATGCCAATCCTTAATGCCTGTGTGCAGTTTCACATAGATTGACCACGTCAGTGAGTAGAAAAACGTGGGACAGACAGAATGACTGACTGACAGAATGACACACTGACAGTTAAAAAAAACGCATGCTAAATGAGACAACAGAACATCATCACGCCAAATGCGGCTTTGTAGTCTTGTTGTGGTGGTGACATCGAAGTCATGTGACAGTAGCGTAGTTTGTTTATAGCCTAAGATTAGCCACATGCCACTGCACCGGCGAAAGCCGTGGCTGGGAGCATTATTTTTTGGGGTTGACCATACGTTCTGTTCATCAGTCCCATTCTCATTAAGGTGATACTAAAGAACGCCTTGAGGGATTTCCTTATAATTTGGCACAAACGTCCTTTTGGACTTAAGGATGAACTGATGAGGAATTGTCGATCAAAGGTTAAGGTCACTGTGACTTTGTGCCCATCTCCTTCTCATGAAGGCAATATATAAAGAAGGCCTTGAGGGACTTGCATCAAATTTGGCACAAACGTCTATTTAGACTCGATGACCTGATCAAATTTTGTTGGTCATAGGAAAAGGTCACTGTGACCTTGCATCTGTCTCATTCTTAAATGGGATATCTCAAGAAGACCTTGTTGAAATTTCCTCCAATTTCACCCATACTTGTACTTGGACTCACGGACGTACTGATAAAATTTTGATTGTCAAAGGTCAATGTCACTGTGCCTTTGTGTCTATTTCATTATCGTGAATGCAATATCCCAAGAAGATCTTGAAGGATTTCCTCCTAATTTGGCACAAATGTCCACTTGGACTCAACAATGAATTCGTCAGAATTTGGTGGTCAAAGGTCAAGGTCACTGAGACTTTGTGTCCATCTCATTCTCGGGAACGCAATATCTTAAGAAGGCCTTAAGGGAATTTCCTCAAATTTGGCACAATCGTCTACTTGGACTCAGTGAACTGATTAGAATTTGATGGTCACTGTGACTTGCATCTGTCTTGTTTTCCTAAATGCAATATCTCAAGAAGGCCCTGATTAAATTTACTCTAATTGGGCCCAAACATTCATTTGGACTCAATGATGAAATGATTAGAATTTGGTGGTCAAAGGTCACTGTGACTTTGTGTCCACCTCATTCTCATTAACGCAATATCTCAAGAAGGTCTTGAGGGACTTGGGTCAAATTTGGCACAAACGTCTACTTGGACTCAACAATGACCTGATTACATTTTGATGGTCAAGGTCACTGTGACCTTGCGTCTGTCTCATTCTCCTAAATGCAATATCTCAGGATGGTCTTGATGAAATTTACTCTCATTCGGCCCAAACATCCACTTGGACTCAAGGACAAACTGATTAGAATTTGGTGGTCAAAGGTCAAGGTCACTGGGACTTTTTGTCCATCTCATTGTAGTAAAATTAATATCTCAAGAAGGTCTTGAAAGATTTCCCTCTAATTTGGACTCAATGATGAATTGATTAGAATTTGATGGTCAAAGTCAAGGTCATTGTGACTTTATGTCCATCTCATTCTCATGAGTGCAGTATCTCAAGAAGGCTTTGAGGGATTATCCTCTAATTTGGCCAAAATGTCAACTTCAATCAATCAGTCAATCAATTTTATTTATAAAGCCCAATATCACAAATCACAATTTGCCTCAGAGGGATTTACAGCATACGACATCCCTCTGTCCTTAGGACCCTCACAGTGGATAAGGAAAAACTCCCCCAAAAAATCCCTTTAACGGGCGAACTTGGACTCAACAATGAATTGATTAGAATTTGATGGTCAAAGCCAAGGTCACTATGACTTTGTGTCCATCTCATTCTCATGAACGCAATATCTCAAGAAGGCCTTGATGAAATTTCCTCAAATCTTGCACATATGTCCACTTGGACTCAAGGATGAACTGATTAGAATTGGTTGGTCAAAGGTCAAGGTCACTGTGACCTCAAAACATTCATATGCTACTTGTGACAAAATTTTATACAAATGTCTGATAGGATAAAATGATGAAGTGATGACATTTTTTATATCCAAAACATCAAAGATCAACTTCACCGTGGCAGTGTTCAGCAAAAACACTCTCCTGGCCATTATTTAATGCCATAACAATGGAACAGAAAGGGAGACATTTGGTTAATTATGGAATTAGTAACACTAATCTTGGGTCTCCATCTTTAAACTGTGCTGAGTATATAGATTTTCTGTGATGTCTGGTTGAAGGTGTGTGTGAAGCATCCACATTTTAGAATATGTAACTTATTTGCAGCAGCATCGACACTGCAAAGCTGTCATGGCTACACATGAATCTGTGATGTAAACTGCAACTGCAATTTTACTGGTTTGTGGGTGTATTAACTGCAAGGCGGTAATTCTAGTTTCTTCTGGTGTTTGCATTTACACTACAGAAAGCATAAAAATGGTTATCATTTGTAGAGAGAATCATCTTACTGAACAAAACGTGAGCATCATAAAGTTTTATTTTGTTGTAGAGCTTATTTTCTGCAATAACCCAAAATCCAGTAGAAAAATATCACTGGCTTTTAGTCAGGGGGAATCCTGGGTGATGTTTACTTGCAGGCTGGCCCACATAAAAACATCCCTGCAGCACTCTTATTTACTAACATAAACAATGATATCATACCACATAAATCATGATCAATTACCACCAAGAAGCTCAATTAAATTCAGTAACTTGTGGTTGTATTATCCATATATTTAAAAGTTGTTTACATGTTTCCATTTAATTAGGCAGTAGTTAATGTATTGGCACAGTTGATGATGCACAGTGAGCATTAATGAGTGAGATAAACAGACATGGAGGTCTGACTCAGACTGGGTGCTCAGTATCTGTTACATGTCTTTCATTAAGGGGCGGTGCTTGAACCTGCTGGGGGCTATATAAGCCTGCCACCCCCGCAGGACAGGCGGCATTGGATACAGTTTTACGGACTCTACCGACTTGGGAATTAGCTGACACTGCAAACATGCCGTCCAAGCCTGCCCCGATCAAGAAGGCGGCTAAGAAAGAACCAGCCAAGAAGGAGGAGAAGGCTCCAGAACCGGCACCTGAACCCGCTCCTGCCCCCGCTGAGGCCGAAGCTGCACCTGCTGAGGCTGCTCCTGCCGAGGCAGAGGCCCCCGCGGCCCCGCCAGCTGAGGAGCCCAAACCCCCCACCCCACCTCCACCCGCAGATGGTAATGCACCCGAGCGCAGCGGCGCGTGAGCCATGAGTTACTGATTATACAGCATACTATCATTTTTATTTCTCAGTGGATGAAGCCTGGATTAGTTGTTTAACCTTTTGATTAACGGTAAAGTAGTCTGATCACCACATGGTAAGCACGAGGTAACCTTTACGCACACGGGGTCGGGCGCACTCAGTTTAAATGTAGCCATGCGTAAATGTAGCCATCGGCTTAAAGCCAAACATGCATGTTAACTGCATAAAGCGCCTGCTTGGACTCTTGTAACTTCTGACCGCCTCTTCTCTACACACTTACTGAGAGTCATTCTGCACTTCAGAGGCACATCATGATGGTAACTGGTAAAGTCGTTATTAATATGCGCTTTTATACCTCAGTGAAAGCTCCATACTGCAAACTTAATCAAATCTAAATGTCTAAATGATAAAAATCTGATCATGATGGTGACACTGATTCAATCTGCTCCCTTTCACTGACTTATGCACAAGGCATATTAACAACTGCTGTTCTATTTAAAAGTTCCTTTCCTATTTCTTCACTATATTTAACATCTAATATCTACATCAGCTGCTCCCACTGATGAGCCTGCTGCTCCAGTTGCTGCAGATCAGCCACCCGCCGATGGTATGACACCTGAGAGGAGTATCTCAGTTACCAACCAACTCACCCATATCTGCTCATTTCAACTTTTCCTTTTTTTTTCTCCCCTTTTAAAAAATGCAGATTTAACCTCTTTCATAACATTTTGAAAATGCCACATGATATTTTCAAAATGTTAGATATCTACTGATATCTTCTAACCTCTAATATCAGCTCCTGCGCCTGCTCCAGAAGAAACGCCAGCCACTGCAACTGAGGCCCCTGCTGATGGTAAAATACACTATGAGTGTATTACCATAGAAATAATCTTTTATTTCTATGGTACCAACAGAGAACATTTATATAACCTCCTTCAGTAAAAGATATCTTCCGGTGATATCTAATACTAATATCCTCTAACCTTTAATATCAGCTGCTGCGCCTGCTACAGAAGAAACACCAGCTCCTGCAGCTGAGGCCCCTGCTGATGGTAAAATACACTATCAGTGTATTAACCATAGAAATGTGTGTCTATTTCTATTGTTTTTGCCAAAGAACTTCTTGAAATATTGAATCTCCAACTGTCCACCTCCTGTAGTAACAGATATCATCACTGCTATCTAACACTAATATCCTCTAACCTCTAACATCAGCTGCTGCGCCTGCTCCAGAAGAAGAACCAGCCGCTGCAGCTGAGGCCCCTGCTGATGGTAAAACAAACTATCAGTGTATTAACAGATCGTATACGAGCATTACTAAATTTTGAGTCTGTCATATCAAAGATAATTTCACTAATATCTAACGCTAATATCTTCTAACCTCTAAAATCAGCTGCTGCTCCCGCTCCAGAGGAAACACCAGCTCCTGCAGCTGAGGCCCCCGCTGATGGTAAAGACTATCAGTGTTAACAGAGATCATTTATATTAGTATGACTAAAACTTCAACCTCTTAGAGTAACATATAACCTCACTAATGCCCAATGCTGACATCCTATAACCTCTTACATCAGCTGCTGCTCCCGCTACAGAAGAAACACCAGCTGCAGCTGAGGCCCCTGCTGATGGTAAACAACAGAGTGGAGTAACAGACATGTTCTATAAGTTTCATTACAACTTGAACATCGGACAGTAGGGCTAACTACACTAATATCTAACGCTAATATCTTCTAACCTCTAATATCAGCTGCCGCTCCCGCTACAGAGGAAACTCCAGCCGCTGCAGCTGAGGCCCCCGCTGATGGTAAAGAATTCACATGAGCCACAACAGATTGGTTTATTATTGAATATGAATCTTCAACCTCGTAAGTTAAGGCTGACAGCACTAACTTTGATCACACTCCTCAGTCTCAACATGCACATTATCATCTGTAAGAACATGTACCATCTGCTTAATGCGCTAATTATTAATATCTAACATTTAATAATAGCTGCTGACGCTCCACCCGCGGAGGAAGGTGCTCCTGCAGCTGAAGGCGAGGCACCCGCTGATGGTAAAGCACAACATGTTCCTCTTCACGCCTCCTTCTCTGCAATATCTGAGATTATTTTTTTTAAGCTGAGAGCTGTGAGGTGCATTCATTTGATGCTGTAGCATCGCCCTGCTCAATACACGCTGCCAATATTAATGCAAATGCCTGTTTAACATCAGCTGAAGCTGCTGAAGCGCCTGCACCAGAAGAGCCTAAAGCACCCACACCTCCTCCACCTCCACCCAAAGGTAACCCTCCATTCAGAAAGGAAACATCTCCGAGTGATTTGACTCTACTTTCATCACTTCTTCCTTTTTTGTTACAGTTAAAATAAAGAATCACAACCTCTTACGATCAGCTTTGAGTCAATTTCTCCTTGCACATGTCTGATTTAATATTTCTGTGATGTCCGCAGAGCCCACAAGTGTCCCCCTGGACCTGTTTGTTGAGGATAAGAACGACACTTCAGTCACTATCATCTGGAGCCAGCCAGAGGTCGTCGGACCATCCGGCCTGGATGGATACACCATTGAAGTCTGCAAGGACGGAAGTAAGTCCTGCTCTGCTTCTGACCAGGTGCACTAAACACTGACATGCACAGAGGGGGTCGGATTATTAATACACCGTGACAGAAATGCCAGCTAACCTTTTTTAAATTATGTTGAAAGCTTTTATTTCAACATCTAATTTTAGTTTTTTTTTACAGGATCATTGCACCTCTGATGTCTCTAATTATATCTGTACTGTTTGAATGCATGCAGGAACATGTTAAATTGCTGTTTTAATGTGGGTCAGCCATATCGGTTGCAGCTGTCCCAGAAGTGTCACTCGCAGAGTTATATCATGAGCTACCTAACTTCTCCCTACAAGGGAAGAGGCATTTCAGGAGCTGCGGTGGTCTTGCTGGAGGTCCTGCTTTTAGACCTACAGCCCTAAGCTAATATCAGCTGCAGCTCCATGTGGGCTGGATTTAGCAGACGGGGCTGCTCACACAAAGAAACAGCAATTTCATGTCTCAAACTGTAATGATTAATAATTAGTGTCAAACATAATCATTCCAAAGCCGCACAACAAGCAGCGCTCACTGTCGTGATTTAATAATTCTGTATGAGTTTCTCTGAGGTTGCCCGCAGTGTTCACAGTCAGCACACTTTCTGATCACAGTCTTTATCCCATAATATCAAGATAAACAACAGCTCTGTAATTTGTATCCGCCTGTCTTCATTCTGTGTAATCTCCTCGTTCAGCTGAGGACTGGAAGGCAGTCAATGAGGAACTGCAGAAGTCCACCCGCTACGTTATCAAGAACCAGACCACTGGTGATCGTCTGAAGATTCGCGTGGTGGCTGTGAATGCTGGCGGCCGCAGCCCCCCCGTCACCCTGCCTGAGGCCGTCCTGGTGAAGGAGGTCGCTGGTAAGAAGTGTGCAAGATCCATCTCAGCACAGAACATAAATTAACATGTAGTAATGATTAATAGAGTGTTCATTTTTAACACAAGAATTTAACTGCTTACCAGTGCCAGAACTAGCACATTTAGCGCCCTAGGCAAGACCCCCAAACAACCCTTTATAGCTTTTCCCTTTCATTTCTGTCACTGTCATACTCTGTACATACACTCCCTTTTTCGGAGGGTGGAGGGCCCAGGTGGCTGCCTATGTCACCCATGGGAAGATCCGCCACTGCCACTTACTTATTTTACCACTTCATCATTTAGATGAGTAAGTTTAAAAAAAGCAAAAACAAAACTAGTATTCTATATTAAAAAATAGCATCTACTGTATACAGGAATCCACAGGAGACAGTGGAAAAAGACTTCCCAAATTGGTCCCGATAATAGACTAAAAAAGGCCCTTAAATACTGAAAAATGACAAAACTTAATATGCCATATAGTTGCACAAATGCATCATATAGTGTGTCCAAAATAAAGAAAAAATGGAAAGGTACTAAATATGATATACGCCATACACATGTACACAACATTAACCACAAATAAGTAATGAAATGGAGTGTAAGAGTCATCATTCGGCCATTTTCTCCATTAAGAGGAGACACTACAGGTCAACAGGGTAAAACCTGTAACTAATAGATATCACCATGTCACTTCCCCGGTTAATAACTTAGATTAAGACAATTATTTTTGCATTAAAAGTAGGGTTACAGCAGTATACCAGTTTCAAGGTATACCACAGTAAAGAAAATAAATTTAAAAAAGCAACCGGACAGAGAATCTCGCCTTTATTTAAATTATTTTCAAAAGAGAGACATACTTCTATTAAAAAACAAATGTTTCCAGTTTCAAACATAATAATAAAGTGTTAGTTCAAAACCAAAAAACCTTGCTTTTTTCATTTCTATAAGTGTCCCTTTAACTGATAATAATAATAATCATTATTGTGTAATACCGTCATACTGTGAAGTTTTTGTACCATGAAAATCTCATACAGTTGCAACCCTAATTACGCGTTTTCTGACACTTTAATTTTAAATATGCAAATGAGCTATAATCTCATTAAATATGTGCTTTTTGCATACATGTCTTTCCACTAGTCTGAACAAAGACATGTTATGGAAGCAAAATAGCCCCAAATGTCAAAGCTGATCAGTGCATGAGAAAACTATGTTTCACCTGTTGTGTTTCCCCTTAAATCTTAAATCTGGTTCTCAAAATGTTTGCCTCAGACACAATGTGGGTCTGGATCACCAAAACTTTAAATCAAGTTGCAAACGAGTCTTTATTTAAACTTTTAATGGGGTTGTTACATAAGGAAACATGATAGACTGAGCTTTCTCTTGCGTGCTACTTGATTATCTTAATCCATCCGTAAAACAAATATGGGACAAAGTATTTGACACAGGCCTGACCTAAACATTATAGAGCCGTTTGTTACGGGAGAGTTGTAAAGTGCAGATGTCAGATCAAAGCAGCTCAGAGATGTTTTCCTCTCAGCTGTCTGCTGGCAGATACCTGCAGTGTTAACGGTATAAAACCGTGGCCTTCTCGCTCGTCTCTGCACTGATCCACCTGACCACAGTGTGATAACTACCCACTTGTTAAGCAGTTGGGTTTTACTGATGCCGTACACCTTCCAGTACTAATATAGATGGTATAAAGTGATTTGTGGTATAATGATGATTGCACCCTGAGGGCTCTAAAAGGAGGAGCTGCGTTACTTCAGCCCACTCACAAATCATCGTTATGCGTAATGGAGATCTGAACAGGGAGGGACGGCAACATGATACCGGCCGGACTTGCAATATTTCAATGCCATCAACATCATGTTCGCCATAGCAGGCAGGCCACCACTTACAGAAACAACTCATGAATGGTTTCCGACAAAATGGCCACAAAGCTTTGGAAAAATAGCTGGGATGTCCTCGCTGTTAACACAGATTTTTTTGTGCCAAGGGTTGTAATCCCTGCCAGGATTCATGCTGAGGGGAGTGTCAGGCTGTAGTCTGCAAGATCGATGGTGACAAGTGATCTGACTGGGAGCAGGTGGGGGCTGTGGGGGCAGGAGAGAGGGGTGGATGGTAAATTCCAGTGGGTGGGGGTGGAGGTGGTGGGTTATGGAGCTATGCTCTCAGGTGACACCCCAAATCTCATGACACTTCCAGAGATTCACTGTTTATTTTAAACATGCCTCGGACTTTGCAGGGAGAATGTTCATCAGGGTTAATCCCCTCTGAATGAAGTGATAAGACACTCAACATGTGGTATGTTTGTTCTACTACACAGATACATTTTTACCTCGTCTCACTTCCTTTTTCCTTTTTTACACCAAATAATATGTTCTAGGTTGTATTTACAAACCAGTTCCCTTCATGCTCCATTTATCCACCACTTTAATGCATTCTGACGCGAGAGGGACCAACTGAAGCTCCCGATCATGCGTCATGAGGGGAGGTGATATACCACAGTATGCCTTCTTTATTTAGAGTCCTGACAAATGTCTCTCTGCTGGACTCAGCAGGTGGTGCTTCTCACCAAATCACTTCTACAAATGAGCCTCAGCGAGACACTTCTGAGGCTTAAGTGTCATTTCAAACGTCACAGCAGCTAACTAGCCGTATGATTTTCTTTTTACGATGATTTATTGGGGCTTTTTATAAGCTGATGCACAGTGAGGGATGAGAGGTACACCCACCAGGGTGCCTCATGTCTTTGTTATATAAACAGTGATTTAAATTCCCTACACGCAGATCTTATGTTTCCAATTTCCTGCTATTTCAACTTAATTTGTCCCAGTAAGGCTATTGTATGTGTCAGCTTGCACAAAATAGCACATATAACACAGTTAAAAGTTGTTATATGAGTTTGAGTGAAAATAAGGGTGTAAAAATATTTTAGGATTCATCAGGGCGTCTGCCGGTCATTAAAAAGTCTTAAAATGTCTCAAATTCAATTTTATAAATATTAGGCTCTTAAAAGTAATTAGTTTTAAAGGCCCAGCGTGTAAGATTTAGGAGGATGTAGTGGCATCTAGTGGTGAGGACAGCAGATTGCACCCAGCTGAAACGTTTCCTAGTTTGAATTACTTACTGACAGTGTTCATTGTTCAGGAAGTTTTTATTGGGAGGTGAATTATCCGCAGAGGTCTCCTCCTCTCGGAGCCGGGGATTTAAAGTGGTAAAAACACTGAATAAAGCAGTTTCACATTTAAAAAATTAGTGTTTCCCAATAGGGAGGGGCTGCTCACATTAGTGTAGAGCCAGTGTTTGGTTTGTCCATTCTGGGCTACTGTAGAAACATGGTGATGCAACATGGCGGACTCGGTAGAAGGGAACCTGCTCCCTATGTAGATATAAACGTCCAAGGTAACAAAACACGACGATTCTTATTTTAAGGTGATAATACACTAGAGAAAACAAATTAAATTTCATTTCTGCCAATATATCCCCTTGAATCCTTCACACTGGACCTTTAAATTAAATTTGTGAGGTCTTAACTGCCATAAACATATCACCATATTTCATTTATACATATTTTAATTTCTTTTTGTCACAATATGTCAAGCCCTTATGAGTGACAGTCTACATTTCTGATGATACAAATCTTTACACCTACCACTGAATCTAATGCCGTCTTCTTCTGGGACCACACATATATTTGCTTACCTTAAATTTGGTTAAAAGTTATCTTAAAAGGATTTAAAAACAAACAAATATGGCAAAGCATAGGAAAAAATAGAATATGTAGCCCCGAAGTCTGAGTTGTCCCACACTTTGTGTTGGCACTTTAACACATCATTCTGTTAAAAAAACAGAAACGTATTCACCACAGAGTGGACGGATACATTAAGTGGTAAAGGACTTAGAGTAAGGGTTACTTTTACGACCAGTTACAGCACAGACGAACCCTGATGGCACCAGTGAAAATTCCCTGGCTAAATGGGGCTTAGGTCTGCTCAGCGTATTTATTGATTTTTTAAAGATTTGTTGGTCACAACACGAAATTTAAACCTTTTGCTTTACTCTAAGAACAGATCCTAACAATCCTTTTCAAGCTGCTGATCCTCCACTGATGCTCAAATAATCGTGGGATGTTTTTCTCTCTAGATCGTCCCAAGGTCCGCCTGCCACGTTTCCTCAGGCAGAGATACGTCGCCCATGTTGGATCTAAGATCAACCTGACCATCCCCTTCACAGTAAGATGAAAATGACTGTATTGTCCTGTAAACACACAATGATTAGAACTGCAGAACTACTCAACATTCCCTGTCTGATTTTTTTTCTTTTACAAGGGCAAACCCAAACCAGTGGTTTCCTGGTTAAAGGATGGGCAGCCCCTGGACACAAAGAAGGTGAACATCCGCAGCACCGACAGAGACAGCATCCTGTTCATCCGTGCAGCTGAGAGAGAAGACTCTGGAGTGTATGAAATGTGTGTGAAGGTGGATGACTTCGAGGACAAGGCTTCACTCACCCTGCAAATTGTTGGTGAGCAAAATGTTGTATCAAAGAGAAAAAGTACGACCGGTGTGTCCCATAGTCTGTATAAAAATAATGGACGTAGCCACTATGACATCATCCATTGGTTTGTGGACCATCATTATAAAGCCTTGTTTTAGGCCGTCATCAAATTAGGGTGCTTTCAGACCCAGAGTTGTCTTGCTTTGGTCTGAATCAGGGACTAATTTTATTACAAAGTTGCATAATAGAGTTGGTTCGTGCTCTCACGGCAGCATTTACAAGCAAACCAGATAAAATGCCTTGCATGAGAAAGCTGCTCTTGATTGGTCAGAATTTCCATGTGGGAAAAATCCAGGAAGTAAACAAAACGTTGAAGAAGAGTACACTTGCAAGATAAATGTGACACTTTCTAATGTCACAATGGAGGGACAACTACGCAGGTTGATTTTAGCGCTGCTCATCGTGGACTATATTGCTGTCATTGTTCATTTTAGTCAAACCA